TGGCTTGGAAAGGATACCCGCTGTGTCCTCCTGCACCTGCCCACACACAGGGATTCGATTCGTGCTTTCAGTGGCTCTTTGCTGGACTGTGGGCACCACCACAGCTCTGTCCCTGCTGTACTGTGTGTCCTCCCCTTGCCTTTCTGGCTCATGGCTCTGAACAAAGCAGCTCACCCAACCCAATTTCTAGAGCCCACCCCACCCCCCAACCCTCATGGAGCCTCTATCGTGCAAGAAGGGAGGTGGGGACCTGGCAAGTCATCCAGGACAGCCATTTGAAGAGCAGAGGCCAAAATCAGACTCGGGCAAGTAGTTCCTGAACCCAGCTCATCAGCACCATTAAGGGGAGCAAAAAACCAGACCGGGCCAATACCCCAGCCCAGAAGACCCCGACTCCTGCTGTCCACAGACGGGCGCAGGAGCACCTTTGCCGAGGACTCCTTTCCATCCCAAACCCCTGACCTTGGAGGAGCCCCTGGGGCCTGCCAGGGGCCTCCGCCCTCATGGCTGGATCCAGACAGTCCTGGGATGCTGCAGCTTCTGTACCTGCTGCACCAGCCTCACATCACCGGAGGGTATCTCTACTCAACTTCTGAGTCGAGATGCATAAGCAGGGTGGGAGCCTACAGCAGCCCCCGCAGCAGCCTGCAGAGAGCCGAGCACCTCCCACACGGCACAGCACAGAAGGCACCTGCCGTCGCTGGGAAAAGCCCTGATTCAAAAAGGCTGGGCCCCGGAGTCATGTACACCCTCTCCCAGGTATCCCTGTGCAGAAAACAGTGTCCCTGGGGGAGAAAGAGGCCAGGCTGGTGTCAAAGAGCGTCAATGGCATAGTCACGGTCCCTCCTCCGACTTCCTTCCTCCTGGAATCCCACAAACAAGCCCCCCTGCTGGGAGCCTGGCGGTCCAGGGACCAGAGCAGCCACTGCCTACTTGGCGTGAGTCATGAACGCCCTTCACAAGGCGATCAGATTCCTTCCTGTCCAGTGAAGGCCAGGAGCCATGGGTCCCACCCACCGCTCCCACTAACACAGAGATCAGGGGCTGGGGCCAGACTGTGCCTGCTCCATCACCTCCTCACAAATGACGACAAATAATGATAAGAACAGCAGCAAACACTGACCCCCCACCCGTGAGAGCATAGGTCATTCAACCCTGGAGGCTCCATGGCCCCCCACCCCAATTTAAAGGTGAGGAGGCTGGGCGCAGTGGCTCACGCCTATAATCCCACCACTTCAGGAGGCTGAGGCAAGTGGATCACCTGAGGTCAGGAGTTCAAGACCAGTCAGGCCAACATGGTGAAACCCCATCTCTACTAAAAACACAAAAATTAGCTGGGCATGGTGGTGGGCACCTCAGCTACTTGGGAGGCTGAGGCAGGAGAATCGATTGAACCTGGGAGGTGGAGGTTGTAGTGAATTGAGATTGTGCCACTGCACTCCAGCCTGGGCAACAGAGTGAGACTGTCTCAAAAATAATAATAAAGGTGAAGAAACGCATTTGGACTAGTTGGATAGTAACTTGCCCAGGTTGCACTGAGCGGAGTGGGGGTGACGAAGACTCTCCTTGACTGAACCTATGTGGTCCCTCCGGCTCTTTATTCTGGCTAGATCCCATCCCTGGGCATGTTCTCAAGAGCCCAATTTTTGCAAGAATCCTGCTAAGTCAGTTTCGCCAGAGCCCCCTGCACCTGCTATCTGATCAGATTCCTCATCCCATGCCGTCCCCAGGGCATATCTATCCCTCTGGCCTGTCTACAGCGAGATTCCTGTCAGGTCGGTTTCACCAGAATCCCTCTCCCCTCCGGAGCGTGCTTCTTCATGATTTTCCATCCATCAACCCTACCCTGCCTCTCAGCTGTAAGTTCCCACTGGTCCATGTGAATCCGGCACTGGGCCCCTTTCTAGGCTGAGGTCTTTCCCCCATCACAATAGCTAAAATAAAATCTGCTTTTACCACTTTAACTGCTGTCCAGCTTGGGTTTTTCTTTGATACTTACTGCTCTCCTCTTCCCTAGGATGGGGTGGGGCGATGGGCCAGCACCCCCAGACTCAGAGGAAAGCACAGGTTATGTGCATAAATACTTCCGTGGCATCACAGAAAAGGGTTTCAACAGAGGGCCTGACATGGTAACACAGGAAGAGGCATGTCAGCTCTTTTCTTTTTCACTGAGACTACCAGTTACTCAGCAACAGGACTCAGAGGCCCTGGTTCAAATACAGACACTCCCAGGACTCCCGTGGTTGAAGACTTGGATGAGTTGAGTCAATGGTTGGCAGAATCTGAACCGCCCTTTACCTGGCTTGATGAGCTGGAATAAGGGGACCGGCACCCAGGCTGTGACTGTTCCTGGGCTGAGCAGCGAGGCTGCGCCAGACGCAGGCTGGACTGTGGGGAGGAATGCTGTAGGCTGGTGGCGGGGGGGTGCAGATGGAAAACATGGAGAGGGAGAGGGAAGGGGGAGCGATGGGAGTGCTGCTGGCTTTGCAGTCTGCTCCCTCCACCTCCCTGAGGGCCTGGGGACCCTGATTCTGAGCAGGTCAGAGAAGTGTCTCCTGAGGGTCAAATGAGCTCTCTCAAAGATCTGCTGCAAGGACCAAATTAGAAAGCACGTGTGGCCAGGTGCAGTGGGTCAGGTCTGCATCCCAGGACTTTGGGAGGCCGAGGCTTGAACCTGGGAGGAGGAGGCTACAGCGGCCTGGACAAGAACAAAACTCTATCTCAAAAATAAAAAATATAAAAAATTAGCTGGGCATGGTGGGGCATGTCTGTAATCCCAACAACTTGGGAGGCTAGGGCAGGAGGATCGCTTGAGCCAAGGAGTTTGAGGTTGCAGTGAGCTATGATCCTGCCACTGCACTCCAGCCTGGGGGACAGAGCCAGACACTATCTCAAGAAAACAAAAAACAACCAAAGAAAGCATGTGCAAAAAAGCCTGAGCCGTGACCATCATCCAGACTATGACCAACACTTGACTGATGCTAAAACACTTCGGGGATCTCAAAAAAGACCAGCGCCAAGTGCTCTCTCAGGAGCGCTGTGGCCCATCTGCGTGGTACAATCTCTCACCATGAGAATCCACACAAAGGCTGGCAGAGTGAACGAGATAATGCAGTGGGACAGGGACAGGACTGCTGAGAGCAATTTTTAGCTAATTTATTTTGTTTTAGCCGGGTCTCACTATGTTGCCCAAGCTGGTCTTGAATACCTGGGGTCAAGCAATCCTCCTGCTTCAGCCTCCTGAGTAGCTGGATTACAGGCATGCGCAAGAGGAGGCTTTTTCCTTTTAAACCTGACCTCAGTATAGGGAACACCAGGAGGCCCTGAGCCACTGAATTCCCTTATACGCTTCCAAGATAGAAAAACAGGCAGGAGCTGCACCTCCCAAGATGTGGCCAGCCAGGCCGGGTGGCAGGAAGGGGTGAAGCCAGCACTTAGTAAAGATTAGAAGATCGGCACAGGATGGGCCAATTTCAGCCCAGGGCACCGCCTAACCATTCTGCTTTTAGGTTCTCCTAAGGCCAGGCAGGAACTGAGGCCCCAGCTGCAAAACCAAGTTGAATGAAAATTCTTTGGGGATGAGGCAACCCAACAGACATGCAGACAGAGGGCCATCCATCAAGACCCATCAAGGCCCACGCAGGCACCAGCCCAGGTCTCCCACGGTGGATGTTTCAGAGCCACAGCTGCCCACACCACCCCACCCTGGGTGCAAGGCCACGTCAGCATCCCCAAGGGCCACATGAAAAAGGACACCATGCATCAGGCAGGGATGGCAGGGACGGCAGCCTTACCTGGACCTGGCCCTTCCCCATGAGTCTGTCTGTGCTCTCGCCGTCCTCCTTGGGGATCTTCGTCTTGTTGTAACACTTTTCATAGCACAGTATCCTCAGGGTCTGGGAGCCCTCCAGCTCGATCTCAAATTCCTGCGGCCCCGAGGGAGAAGGTGAGTCCAGTGTGAACAAACAGGTCAGCGTTATGGCCAAAGGGGCCTCTGAACCGAGGCTCTCCCTGCTGCCCTGGCTGCCCCAGAGGGACCGATGCCTGCGACCCTCCTCCTGTAGTCCTGGGACGCATAGACGTGTCCCCTGTAAGCATCCCTGGCATCAGACTGTGGCCCAGCCTGCATGCTTCCCGAAGATCCGACGGGCTCTCAAACCTAATCCAAACTCCTAACACCAGCATCTCAAAGGGTTATCCCCACACCAACTGTCTCAGAATCTCCAGGGTGCCCGTCAAAAGATAGTTTTATGGGCCAGGAGCGGTGGCTCACACCTGTAATCCCAGCACTTTGGGAGGCTAAGGCAGGCAGATCACTTGAGACCAGGAATACGAGACCAACCTAGCCAACATGGTAAAACCCCGTCTCTACCCTAAAAATACAAAAATTAGTCAGGCATGGTGGTGCATGCCTGTAATCCCAGCTACTTGGGAGGCTGAGACATAAGAATTGCTTGAATCCAGGAGGCAGAGGCTGCAGTGAGCCAAGATCATGCCGCTGCACTCCAGCCTGGGCAACAGTTGGAGACTCTCCCTCAAAAAGCAAGAACAACAAAAAAGATATTTCTATGGACTCTGGATGATAACGATCTGTCGATGTGGGTTCACTTTTATGGTAGTGAGACTATTCTGTAAGACATTATCATGGTGGATACACATCATTCTACATTTGTCAAAACCCATAAAATGTGTAACACCAAGAATGAACTCTACCTAATGTCAACTATGAATTCTGGGTGATCATGATGGTTCACTGTGGGCTCATCAACTGTAACGAATACCCCACTCTGGTGTGGGGCGTCCGTAACTGAAGTGGGGGGCAGGGGTATATGGGAAAAACTGCTCCCCTAGCTTTCAAGTTGTCTGCCATGGATGTGTGGTGTTAACTTTCTACTCTCAATGATGGTGCCACTGGTGAATCTGCACTTCACACCGAGGTGCGCATGCATGGGTTCCTGGTGGGGCAATGGAGGGTGAGGGGAGAAGAAAGCAGCAGGAATTTCTGAACCTGAGTGAGTGAGAGAGAGAGAGAGAGAGAGAGGGAAAGGGAGAGGGGGAGGGGGAGAGAGAGAGAGAGAGAGAGAGAGAGAGAGAGAGAGTGTGTGTGTGTGTGTGTGTGTGAGAGAGAGAGAGAGAGAATCCCTGAGCCCAGACCTTCATGGACAGTGAGGGTGGTGGAGGTGACCTGCTACAATCTAACCCTCACACCTTCACGCCTCCCTGGAGCTCCCGTCACTGCCTGGCACCTGAACCTTTTACACACCGCCTGGCACCCCTCTCTTGTTGTCTCTGCTGGGCCATGGCCCTCTTGCTCTCTGCAAAGGTTTATTCGATGGATCCCATATGGCTCTTATCCCCCGCACATCATAGCTGCCGCTTAGCCCTTTCACAGGGGAGCTACAACAACTAGGTAATTTTACGGAGCTCCTGTGCCCTTATACTATCCAACAACATATCTAAACTGATCAAAGAGTAGTGGATGCTGAGAAAGGAGACCTGGGTTCCAGCCTCCCTGTCCACTCCACCAGCCTCATGACCCATGTAGACCAAGCAGCCTGGGGGCTCCAGGCTTCCTCCTCTGCAGGAGACGGGGTGGGAGGCGGCTCTCTGCAGGCCCAGCCATCTCTACTTGCACCATCAAGAATGAGACCATCGAGGTCACAGCTGCTGCAGAAGCTGGGAAATGGCACCTCTTATGGATCTGGGGACTTAGTCAATACTGGCCTCTCTGCAATCTTTCCCCGACTCCCAGAAGGGCAGGGCCAAATGGCTAAGTGACTCACGCAGCAGCTCTCCAAGGTGGAGGAAGGCACAGCGACACACAATACAAACCCAACACCCCGAGACAAGCAAGCAGGACCCTGCAGTACCTGTCCCAGCCCTACCAGCAGAGCCCCAGGCTTCCGCAAGCTAAGAGGGTCATGGGAGCTCATTCCAACTTCTGCGGAAAAACACTATGGAAACTACCAAGTAAACAGAAGCGATAACAAAGGCAGACAAAAAGCCCTTTCAAGTCTCCTTCCAAACACCTTCAGCAAAATAGGCTGCTGCTTTTGATGATGGGGGTGGGTAAGATTCTTAGGAACGGAGATAAAATCTCTTAGACACGTCACCTCCTGGCCCTGAATTCCAAGAGATTCCTGGAATTCAGCAGCATTGCCTTTGGGGGAAGCCCTCAGGGAGCCCCTGAAGGTTTAGATTCTCTCCAGTGGAAAACATCCTGTGACCGGCTGGGAGGCCGGGCCCTTGTGGAATCAGCTCCTCACCTCGTTCCAGTTTGGCTCAGCTGTGTCCCTGTAGACGCGCGTCTTTGCTTTATTCACAAAATACCCAAAGGAATCCACCTCCAGGGTGCAGTACAGATCTGTGGGAAGAAAGGGACATGGAGAAGGTGGCAGCTCTTTTCCACATCAGCCACATGGTCTATAAGAGCAGGTGTTATTTGAAGAATCTGGAAAAAAAAATGTTTTAACTTTCTTTTTAAAAATAAAACACCAAATGGGGTTCTGGCATGAACACCAGCACCTCATGCGACACTCCTGCCTGATCTGTAAAATTTCCCTGGGTGCAGATGGGAAACGGGACCTCCCACAACATTCATTCACGCAGTCAGTCCACAAACCACAGCTAAAGCCCCTACGATGAGAAGGGCCCTGCACTGGTGGGGACAGAGAGGCGTACATGCCATCGTCACACAGTGGGTGTGAGCCACAGTGACACCACAGCAGAGGCCAGACGTCTGGGGGATGTGGGAAGCTCCTACAACCAGGGCAGACCCCGCTCGAAGTATTATCGGGCAAAGAGCGAAGGCAAAGGGCACCCCAGGCCACTGTGGGGCACAGGAAGCAGCTCAGTGCTGGGGAAGCCGTGGAGTGCAGGAAGGAGGGAGGGAGATGAGGCTGGGGGAGAGTGGGGCTGGGCTGTGGGCAGTAAGTGGCAGGGTGGGGTTTGTATTTTAGAAAAACCACCTGAGTGGCTCACGTTTGTAATCCCAGCACTTTGGGAGGCCAAGGCGGGGGGATCACCTGCGGTTAGGAGTTCAAGGCCAGTCTGACCAATAGGGAGAAACCCCATCTCTACTAAAAATACAAAATTAGCTGGGTGTGGTGGCGCGTGTCTGTAATCTCAGCTACTCTGGAGGCTGAGGCAAGAGAATCACTTGAACCCAGGAGGTGGAGGTTGCGGTGAGCTGAGATAGTGCCATTGTACTCCAGCCTGGGCAGTAAGAGCAAAACTCTGTCTCAAAAAAAAAGAAAAAAAGAAAAACCACCTGAGAAGGGGGATGGAGAGGCCTGGTGGTGGGGACCCTTTCTGCAGTGACATCCAGAGCTACAACCAGGGAGGAGGCCACAGCCAGGGCCTGGCCAGGCAGCCAGAGACGATCAAGAAGCCTCACTGATGGAGAATGGCATTTAACAGAGGGAAAGTGGACGCAGTATCTGGTGTGGCCGCAGGGGTGGATGGTGGTGCCCCTCAAAGGAACAGGACGTAAGAGGAACAAGTTTGGGGGCCATGAATAATAGGTTTGGTTTGGGGAGGGAAGGTTGAGTGCATGGGACATTGAAGACATAGAAAGAAAGGTAACAGGGAAGCAAGGACAGACAGGCCCGGGACCGCAGGGCAGCGTGCGGCGTCACCCTGCACTGCTGCTCACAGACAGGACACTGGAGGAGAGGCAGGGATGGAGGAAGGCCCATGAGGGAAACACCAGCGTTTATGAGGTCGCCAGAGACGGGGCCCAGGGGAAAGATTATGTGTGTTACAACGCTATGGAGGTGTAATCTGCATGTCATATAATTCATTCATTCCAAGAGTAGGGTTTGAGGATTTTTAGCAAATTTAAACACTTGCGCAAACAGCACCACAATCTTCACGACACTGCTCTCAGCTAAAAAGTCCCCTTGGGTTCATCGGCAGTAAGTTCTTTCTCCCAACCCCGTCCCTCAACAGTCACTGGTAAGCTTTCTGTCTCCATATTTTGCTGTTTCTAGAAACTTTTTTTTTTTGAGATGGAGTCCTGCTCCCTCACCCAAGCTGGAATGCAGTGGCACAATCTTGGCTCACTATAACCTCCGCCTCGTGGGTTCAAGTGATTATCCCGTGTCAGCCTCTCAAGTAGCTGGGATTACAAGCGCCCACCACCTCACCTGGCTAATCTTTGTATTTTTAGTAGACACGGGATTTCATCATGTTGGGTCAGGCTGGTATCAAACTCCTGAGCTCAAGTGATCCACCTGCCTCAGCCTCCCAAAGTGCTGGGATTACAGGCATACCACCGCTCCTGGCCTCTAGAAACTTATATAGTGCAACTGATGTTGCCTAGTCTTCACTGTTCTGACGGCTCCAGCAGCTGGGGGAGAACCCCACTTAGAGGGCAAGGTAAAAAAGAGTATTGGGGGCCGGGCACAATGGCTCACGCCTGTAATCCCAGCACTTTGGGAGCCCGAAGGGGGCGGATCACAAGGTCAGGAGTTCAAGAATAAGCCTGGCCAGCATGGTGAAACCCCATCTCTACTAAAGATACAAAAAATTAGCCAGGTGTGGTGGCACATGCCTGCAATCCCAGCTACTTGGCAGGCTGAGGCAGAACTGCTTGAACCTAGAAGGTGGAGGTTGCAGTGAGCCGAGATAGCTCTGTTACACTCCAGCCTGGGTGACAGGACGAGACCTTGTCTCAGAAAAAAAAAGAAAAAAAGGGTATTATTCATCCAGTGCGACAGAGCAGCCAAATCTGCTCTGCTGTGGGGTGAAGGTGTACTGCTGACTGCCCTCCTGGCTTGGACCCAAGACTCCCGGGCACTCCAGCTGCTGCCTGTCAAACTCCTTGTCAAGCCCCTGTGACCACACGATCCACCTGCAAGAGTCAGCTCACCGGCTCCCAGGATCTGAGACAGGCTCGGGAGACAGCAGAGACCACATCGGGAAAAACAATTCCAAACACCCAGAAGGCATCAAGCAGCATCAACGCTCCACCACGGCCAGTGATCAAAGGTGTCCCATGGTCATCTGAACAACCTCCCTGCTTCCCCACACCCTGGCCGATTAGTCCTTCCTGGGTGGAGAACCTGGCTCGGTCCGTGGAACTTCCTCCCCACACCAGTACTTACTTGAACTCTGCTTAAATCCAGTGGCTGAGTGGACGATGACATTCAGAAACCCATAGAGCCCCGGAGACTCATCATCTGTACAAGAGACCAAAGAGGTGAGCGTCTGTTGTCCCGGGAAAGGGAGGCAGGTGACCGGCTAACTCTGCTTCAGAGTCAACCATCCGGGAGACATGGCGTAGCTGCCATCTGCCCAGCACAAGGCAAGCCAGTGTCACGGGCCAAAAACACACCCATCATGATTTCTGTCTTGGGGATCTCAGGGTCCAGTTGACTTCACAACACAGGCAAACCAGGGACCCAAAGTGTAATAATGTTCCAAAGACAGCAGAGGGGGTTGGGGTGATGTGGACGTGGATGGGGTGTGTGTGGACAGGTGCGCATAGCATGTGCTGTGTGTGACTGAGCATATGTCCGACAGTGAATGCAAAACTCGGCTTGACCAAAGTGCCAACCAGCAAGTAGCGGGAGGAGGGAGGGCTGGGAGGATGCGAGTGGGGCCGGACCAAGGCATGGAGCATCGGAGGAGCGTCCGCTGTCGGCCTCGTGACTAGGAACGTGATTAGCCGCGCATCTCCTCAACCACCCAGCAGCAGCCACTCAGGGAGAAACCGCTCCTAACCCATTTCATCCACTCCTGGGAGGAGACAGCAGGCCCTAACAAACACCTCTTCCTTCCGAACCAAAGTCCATTAGTCCCAACAAAAGTGCTAACAGGAAGCGGGGGTCAGACCTCAGGCCAGCTGCCTGCCCTCCCTGCAGGCGCCCTGTGTGCAGAAGGACAGACCCACCTTCCTTGTTGATGGTCAGTGGAATGCTGTGGACCGTCTGCAGTTTGACACACGAGTTGGTCAGCATCTGCAGCTCCACGGATGTCAGGGAGAAGCTTTTGAAACCTGGGAGGTTGG